CCTTCACCAGCAGAGGGGCTCTGGGCTGGGCGATCCCTGGGGAAAAGCAGCCTCTTCCTCCTTCTAGAGTCTTCAGACTTCAAGCCCCAGGACTCCTTCTTCCTTTCGAAGTCACGTGGTGGTGGGGGAGGGGCACAGGGGAGCTTGTTAGTCCCTGGGCTAGCAGGACGTTGTGCTCTTTCCGTTTTTTTCTGTTGTGACACTGGACAGTTCAACTCTCAACTCCATTTCGTATCTATAAATTGGCTACTGTAATGCCTACCTCGTCGGATGGGGGAAATTACATGAGCCTGTGCAGATAAAAGACTGTTAGAAACTGAACTGTGTCCCCAAAGTCCCTATGTCGAAGCCACAAACCCCATTAGGAGGCGGGCCTTTCCAAAGGGTAATTAAGGTTAAGTGGGGTCATAAGGGCAGGGACCCAATCCAATAGGACCTCGTCCTTACAAAAGGAGGAAAGGCTGGGCAACCACCCGGAGAAGGCGGCCATCTGCCAGCCCAGGGAGGAGAAGCTAAAGCTGCCAGCACCTTGATCTTGGACTCCAGCCTCCAGAACTGTGAGGAATAGGCTGCTGTTGTGGAAGTCGCCCAGGCTGCGCTGTTCAGTTACAGCGGCGGTGGCCATCCAGGACGGCGGCTAGTGCAGCGCCCCCGGCTCGCACGCAGGAGCTGCTGGCCTGCGCTACCCTGACTCCTCCCTGGCAGCTCTGCGTGCCTCCTGTCCGCTTTCATCCTGGACGGGGACTGTGTCTGCCTGTGGGGCGGGGGACAGATTTATTTACCTCCCAGGATGGTAGGGTCTCCCCCCCTCCCCACACAGAGGTGGGCTTCCAGTCGGCAGCCATCTAGTCAACCTCTTCTCCCTGCAATGCTCTCTCAGGCTGCCTTAGTAGGTTGGGGTTCCCCTAAACGGGGGCACAGCTCACCTGCATCAGTGGATGTGCAACAAGCCAGACTGGTTGCTTGACAATTATTATAGTGAAGTCAGGATGGCTATGTACCTTAAATCAACAAATATTTATTGTGCCAAGTGCTGGGGCAGAAAGCACCGAAGAAATAGACAAAAACTCCTCGTCCCTCTGTGCGGCTGGACCCTGCGTAGGTGGCGATAGGTTCAGAACAGACCCCTGATCCCTGCGTGTGTGGCAGTTGGGCAGTGAGCGCTCGAGAGCTTCCTGTGTGCCCAGCACAAGGCCAAGTTTATCGTCCTGTCTTTGCACACCTGTGTGCAGCAGGCGACACGGAGGCCCGGGGCAGTTGTAACCAGTCGCTCCAAGTGCTACCTGGGGCGGTGATGGGTGGAATTTGAACCCAGCTTGCCTGACTTTCCAAGTGCTTTTGTCTTAAAAACACCCTGATACCTCCAGTCGCATTCGGAGGCTTGTCTTTCTCTTTGAATTGGAAGCCCCGAGAGCCCAAACAGGTTTTCCGTGGTGCGGTTTACTCTCCTCTGGGTCTTGGGGGAGGCGATGGGACCAGCTGATTCGAGGAAAAGCTGCTCTGCCCTGAGGTTTTGCAGGGTGAGCTCCCTCCACCAGGGGGGCCGTGGGGGCTGAGGTCGGTCTGACCTGGTCATTCTGAAATCAGGGGCCCCTCCCGGGAGGGATGCAGGCCAGGGAGCGCTACGTGGCAGGCTCAAACTGGGGGCTTGAGATGACTCATCTGTGGCTATTTATTACCGGTCTCCATTTCTCGGTCTGATTGGGCTGCTCCAGGGCCAAGCCTCCTTCCTTCTGGGTGCTGAGTAAGCAGCCCCCACCATCCTGCCCACCTCTGGCCTCCTGGGGCACGCTCTCACCTCGCCTTCAACAACACTTGAGCCCCTTGGGGCTGCTGGAAGTTCCCTCCCATTGCATTCATCCAGATCTTCCCACCTGTCCTTTCTCCCCTGCCTCCACTGCCTTCGGGTCTCAGCTCATCTGTCGCCTCCTCTGGGAAGCCCTCTCTGACCACCACACTCACCCCATCGCAGTCTGGTTAGGCGGCCTTTGCCTTGTGCTTCTGCAGAATCTGCCCTGCTTCCGAACAGTCATGGTCACCGGTGGGTAATTAATTGCCCCATTGTCCCATCTCAGCTGCAGGCAACTCCATTCTTCTGGTTTCCCAGCCCCAAACCCCTAAGCTGTTCTTGAGGCCTCTGTCAGCAAATCCTGTCCATGGTCCCTTTGCAGTTCACCCGGATCTGCCCCTCCCCCACAGCTCCCTCGTGCTCTGAGCAGCCATGACCTCTGCCCGGTGCGGCAGGTTGGGGCTTGCTCCTCCACTCACAGCTCCCCAGTGGTCCCCATTGTATTTAAGTCTGCAGCCTTCTACCCCGCACACCCCATCTGCCTTCTCTTCCCCGTGTTCCTCTGCAGCACCTCTCTCCTTCTGACATGCGTGTACATTACCCCCCCTATTTTGTTTGTTGTGTGTCTTCCCGTCACTAGAATGGAAACTCTTCAAAGGTAGGGAGTTTTGAGTATTAAGTTCGCTGATATATTCCCAGCACCTCACCCAGGGGCTGTACCCACACGCCTGTCATGTTTGTTGAATGAATGAATGAATGAATAACAATCTGCCACTCACCCACAAACAAGTAGAGACGTTCCTTTTATGCAAGCACTTTTCTCCCGCAGGCGGGTTAGATGCTGCAGCATTGGTGGGTCCTGTGGGAGGCAGGCCTGGCAGAGTTCCAGGCGTCGGTGGGCACCCAGCTCCCCCGGACACGCCACACAGCCCACCCCAGCCTCTGGAGCACAGCAAGGAAGGGACCTGGGGGCTGAGAACCCCATGACAGACACCTGTACTTGCAGGTGCTAACAGTTTTGCTACTTAGCTGGGAGGCCTCGGCTCAGAAAGGCCCCTCGTCCCTTGTGCAGGGTCCCTCCCAGCCAGAACAGTGGCTGCTCTGACTGCTACCGAGCATGTGTGGGACACCAGCGAGTGAAAAGACTTCAGGCCACAAGTGAACTTAAGGTGAAGCTGCTTCCTTTGGGACATTGCAGCCAGCCAGCAGGTGTTTGAAATGTCAGTGTCAGCCCAGGACACAGAGACCCCCAGGAGGTGGGTGCGGGGCCAACAACACACGCGTGTCTCGCCCTTGCCAAGGTGTTTATTTTCCCAGTCTAGCTCTGACCAGCCACAGGGCTGTTTCCGGGCCGCAGGTGGGTAAGCTGTCCTGGGCGCTTGCCTGGCAGGTGCCGAGGCTGGGAGGTGCCTGAGCACTGCCGTAGATACGTGTGTGCAGCATTTAAACAGGCCCACTACTCTGGCCGAGTGGAGACCCCTGACCCTCCATCAGTCTCTGCAGCCACGCGGAGAGCATGACAGCGAGCAGACCCTCCGACTCCCCATCTGCCCCCCTTGCCAGGTTCAGAAACGCTGGGGTCCAGCCTTTGCTGCCTGGGGAAGGCAGATGATCCAAAGCCATCAAATAAGCAGATGAAGCCAGTGGTGGCAAAGAGGCTGGGTGGGGTCCGAAGTGGGGACTGGGGCTGTCCCCGCACTTACTGGCTGCTGCAGACTCTGGCCTCAGGGTCAGTGTAAGTCGACGGGGGAGGGGCTGTCGGGTGTGGAGGGGAGCGGTCTCTGTATTCCTCTCAGCTCTCCCCGTCTTTCCTAAACAGAAACTAGTTAAACATGAGTAGCTGGGGGTTGGGGGTGATAGCCGCTGGGTTTTTCTCAGCCCAGGCGCCGTCCCAGCCCCCGGGTGGTACCCGTGAGTCTCCAGACCTAGCTGAGTCGGGGCCATGACCCCGTTTCCCCAGGTCTTGAGAGTTTCACGCCTGTTGAGCCCCAGGCCTGACTAGGCCCTGACACCTCTGGGCTCCAATTTGGAGAGAGAGAAGGTGCTGGGGGGCGGGGGTGACCTTTCCCCAGTGGCGTGGATGGGCTGAGGGAGGAAAAGCCCAGAAGGATCTTCTGAATGAACACACCCCCGTGGGCAGCTCCTGCTGGGAACAGGAGCTGGGGTGCCCCCGCGCCCCGCCTGCAGGGGCAGCACGGAGGACGGTGGGGACCTGTGGGTGCCCCTCTGCTCTGGGTTTCGTTTTCAGAGCAGCGTCTCCGTGCTGCGCCCCTGGCGGGAGCCTCGGGAGGCAGGGCTGGTGGCCGCCATGCCTTTCAGGGGTGCTGGCCTTGGTCATCCAGTCATCCCCCAAATATGCCTGCAGCCAAGCCCCATTCAGCTCGGGGGACAGACAGTCCCGGTCCCAGAAGCTGCCACCCGGGTGGGGAGGGCAGGGCGCTGGCCAAGAAACAGCTGCAGCTGGTGGTGGGTGTGTCCGTGGAAGGCAGCACACAGGGCGAGGTGACAGAGTGCTCCAGGGGTCAGGAGAAGCCCCTCTCAGGGGGTTTCACTTGACCCAACATCTGGAGGGTGAGGAGGGGCAGCATTTTTCAATTTTATTTTTTCACAGCTTTACAGAGGTGTAGTTAACACAGGATGACCTTTACCTGTTTACAGTGCGTGGCTTGAGTTTTGGCCCAGGTACGTGCGTGCCCATTGCCACCGAGTTAACGGACATGTCTGTCACCCGCAAAGTTTCCTTGCAGGGGGCACTCTTGGAAGAACTGGGGGGATAGGACTTCAGACAAAGGGGGTAGGCAAGTACAACGTGCTGGGCCAGGGAGAAGCTTGGTGGCTCCAGAGGGGGCAGAGACAGGGGATAAGGGAGGGAGGCAGGGCCCTAGCTGGGGGCCTTGGTGCCTGAGGTGTGAAGCAGTGGGGGGTGGGGGACTGACTCTGAGCGCTCCCCACACCCTGGTGACCAGGGCTGGTGACTGGTGCGCAAGTGGCCATGCCACACTTGGCGTCTGACCCTAGAGCCCCGTTTCCACCCAGGGCTCTTCTGAGAAACCAGCATGCACGGCAGTGACTCTCACTAATGAACTAGCCACTGGTTTCCCCCAGAAATGATTTACATTTTCACTGGGGCCTTCGCTACCTCCACCCAAAGGAGTGAGTGAGGGTGGAGTTTTACGCGGTGGAAGGAGCCTACTGCATCCGTCACTCTAGGTCCTCTGGGCGCCAAGTTCTCAGCCTTCAGGACAGTGAAGCTTCTTGCATGTTCTGAGTTGTAAGCTGCCATGTCAGGGCAGGGTGCCTTTGGGGGCCGTCGCATCTCCTGGGGCTGGTCCTTGGGAGGCCTCCTGACTTGACTGCCAGGCACAGGGCCACGTGGGGAAGAAGCGGGGTGACAGCGAATGCAAAGTCAGCTCCCGGAGAGCGAGTTCCTCACTGCCGACAACTGCGGGAGCCAGAGCGGGTTCCAGGGAGATGGGGCGGTTGTGGAGGGCGGGGGGACCCAGGCTGCCCCTTGGTTGTGGGGGCACAAGTTCCAGCCCTGGAGGGGGCAGAGGCTCATTTTAGAGTCACAGATGTGGGTTCGAACTGTGGCTCTAGGACTGAGTGGCTTGTTCAGGTTACTTCTCTGAACATCTGTTTTCTTATGGATTTAAAAAAAAAAATTGTTACTTTGTAGGGCTATTGTGCCAGGAATCTCTGAATGAGCACCTTTGGCTTATTCCTTCTGAATTTTTTTGCTGGATACCTCCCTGGGGTCAGACACTGAGCTGCACTGGCTAAGACCCCTGCCCTGGGGGTGTCTTCTCACCCCTCACCCCCTGCCTGGAGATGGCAGCAGACCCCAGCCTTGATTTTTCTCTGTAGGTGGGGACAGTGCTCATGGTGGGGGTTGGGGGTGAGGCTCCTTCGATGGCAAGGGCCTGGTGAGGAATGGTTCTCTCTCTCTCTCTCTTTCCTTTTTTAATTCCTTTATTTTAAATTGGTTTTTTAGAGAGTGGGGGTGGGGGAGGGAGAGAGGGAAGGAGGGAGAGAGAAACCCTGATTTGTTGTTCCAGTTATTTATGCATTCATTGGTTGATTTTTGGATGTGTCCTGACTGGGGATCGAACCTGCAACCTTGGCCTGTTGAGAAGACACTCTAACCAGCTGAGCTTTTGGGCCAGGGCTGGTTCTTTCTTTCTTAAGGGGCTGCCCCAGGCTCTCCTGTCCGGGTGCATAGGGTCGGGGACCTCCCTGCACAGGCAACACCCAGGACACGCACCACCCTCCACGGAGCTGGCGTCTCCCTTGGTTGCTTCTGTTTTTTGTGTGTTTTTTTTTCTGTTTTTGTGCTCAATACCTCTGGTTCTGTGATTAATATTGGACTAGGCTTGGTTTCCTGAGCATCTAATGACTCACTCCACTCACAACGGCCCTGTGAACAGGAAGGTCCTGGGGGGAGACAGGGACTCCATGGTGGGGAGTTGGGCCCCTGGGGTCATCCCCGCCATGCCGTGGGCCTTGGCCAAGTCTCTTTCCCTCTCCGGTCTTAGCTTCCTCCTCTGTGTGCCCCCAGAAGGTGGGAGGGAGTACTGGGAACTGGGAACAACGGCAGAACTTCCTCCCCAGCTCTCAGGAGCTCGGGAGGGTTCACAGCCTCCTGGGGTTCAGCCTGGGAGAGCAGGGCTCCCCCATGGTGTTACCCACATTCACTTGTCTCCTCCTCACTGCAGCCCTTTGCCACCATTTCATAGATGAAGAGACCGAGGCTCAGAGAGGGTGAGTAACTTGCCTAAACCCACACAGCTAGTAAGTGGCAGAGACGGGAGATGACCCTGTGTGGTTCTAGGGTCTCTGACCACCCCGAGGAACAGGGCTGGAAATAAGTGTCCCCAGGCCTCACGTGGGAAGGACACCTCCACACCTCCTTCCCACCCGACTCTCCCTGGAGCCTCAGACGTCTCAAGTCCCAGCCCCGGATTTTACAAGTCAAGGTGCTGAGGCCTGGACAGGGGAGTCACATGGTCATTTGCAGCCTGGCCCCAGCCCAGGCTCCTGACACGCCGTCTGCTCTTCGCACACCCAGAGCTGCCACCTGCTGAGCTAGAGCACAGTGGAGCCCACACCGGTGCCAGAGGCTTGGGGGGGGGGCATCCCCGTACTGGCCGTGTGACAGGCAAGGTGGCCTGTGCTGGGGACGGGAGATGGTCACCTGCTGGCCTCACCTGATCAATGGCTGGGAAAGACCTCTGACCCCACGGTGCTTGCCTGCCTGGGGCCCTGCCACAGCGTCCGAAGCCCCTGCATGAGTCACTGTGGGCTGGAATGGTGAAGGCCATGTATATTCGTCCCCTGAGAAGGGGACCCGCAGGCTCCGAGCGAGCGTTCAAGCCGGGGTCCTGGATGGAGGGTCCAGGGCCGGAGCAGGGGGCTGGCTACCCTGCGGGGTGGAGCGAGAGGCTTAAAGCTAAGCCCTTTAAAGAGCTTTGTCTGTCTAGTGTTTTATTTTTTTACTATATTTTTATGTATATATTTTTAATCCTCACCTCAGGATATGTTTATTGTTTGTAGAGAGAGAGGAAGCGGGATAGAGAGACAGATCGATGTGAGAGAAAAACGTCAGTCGGTGAGTTGCCTTCTGTGCATGTGCCCTGCCCGGGGATTGAGCCCCAACAGTTTGCTGTGCGGGGCGCCTCTTGGACCAACTGAGCCGGTGGCCAGGGCTGCCCTCCGTTTCATTCAGGGCTCACTGCAGCCCTGGAAGGCTGCCTGGTAGTGTTAAAGTCCGCACAGGGCAGGGAGGGAGACACGAGGTCCCGGGGACCCCCACCTGTCTCCCCATGCTCGTGCACCTGTGCAGTGTCCGCCCAGGCTGGGGAGAGCCAGCTGTGGAAACAACCTCGTGGACATGGCAGAGTGTGACTTCTGAGGCCTGGTCACAAAGCACGATGTGGCTTCCCTCTCTCTCGCTGGGGCTCGCGGGCTCTGGAGGAGGCCTGTTGCCTCTCTGCAGGACACTCAGCAGCTTCCTGCCACTGAGGGACTCATTTTGGAAGCCGGTCCACAGCCCCCCTGGAGCCTGCAGATGACGGCAGCCCCAGCTGCCACCTTGATTGCCGCCTCACAGCAGACCCCGAGCCGGGTCACCCTGTCCAGCCTTTCCCGGATGGCTGACCCACAGATACACGGGACACGGTGGTTCTTGTTGCCTTAAGCTGCTAAGTCTAGACAACTAATACACTCGGAGAAGAGAAGCGACTTGCCCACAGCCACGTGGCCAGGCCAGGACACCTACATCACATGTCTGTCTTCGGGGGAAGCCAGGGCAGCAGAGGCCTGGCCAGGAAAGAGAAGGCAGCTGAGGCCTGAAAGTCAGACAGGTTCAGAGTTGAATCCCAGCCTTGCCACTCTCAAGCTGTGCGACCTCAGGCAAGTTCCTTAACTACTCTGAGCCTCAGCGTGTTCATCTGTGAAGTCGAGATAGCGATAAGGACTTGAAATCTTGCTGCCAGGATTCAACGTCTGGCCCAGGGCCTGGGTGTTGTGTTTGTGGCCATGTGTTGCTGGGGTTCACCCAGGCGGCCGGGAGCCCCTAACGTTTGTTCCTTCCCAACTCTGAGGAGTGAACTCCCTGATGCCAGCCTTCAGTGGCCACTTCTCATCGCCGTCCTGGGGACCAGTGCTGAGTGACCGAGTCTGGCTGGTGTCGTGGGCCTTGAGGAGGGGTTGAGTTCTGGAGGCTTGGGTTAGAGGCCCCCTGAGGAAGAGTCCCGCTTTCATCTAGCCTCTTGGGAAAGGTTCTCCGAAAAGTACTGGGCCGATCAGAGCGGGAGGATGCAGGCTTTCCCCCCTGGTTTTCAGCCTCCTACCTGTCCGCGGCTGCCTGCAGCAGAAAGAACCCCTTGATTGGCGGAGGGTATTTTGGGGCCATTTTGGGCTGGGGTTCCCAGCTGTTGGGGAAGTCCCTGAGTTTCCTGAACCAAATCTGAGCCTGGTGTCTTGCTCAGCATCCTTTCGGTGACACAGGTTCCCCATCCCCTTCGGCGAGCTTTCTGGTGCACCTGCCTTCCACCCCCTTCCTCTGCGAGCCGCTGCTCACCTGCTCGCCTCCTGCGGGCTCCCGCAGCTTGCCCTGGCTGGGGCCTTTGACCCCCTGCGATCCCACAACAGGGCCTGCTGCTGAGCCTCGCAGGGGCCTGGGGACTTCCCCTCCTGGCTCTTCAAAGCACTTTCACAAGTGTTGGGGGCTCAAGAATGCCTGAAACCTGCAGAAGGCACTGCAACCTGAGTCACCTCCATCCAGGGCCTTCTCTTTAGAACCCCACAGGCTGCCATTTTTCTAGGCGTCTGCACTTCCTACAGCAGAGGCACCTCCCTGGAATCCAGCCCATTGGCTCCCAGCTGCGTGCCAGGCTGCCTGAGGCTCCCGGGCCTCCTGCTTCTCCAGGTGCCGCAGGTGCCCACGGCTTCCTGGGGGCAGATGGATGTGTGAGCCAGTCATCGCCGCCCTGAACCAGTGAGATCAGCTCTGGAAGGGAGCTTCAGAGAACGACCGGAACATTTCGCCTTTCTGACTGGGAAGGCAGTGGGGGAGGGGGGCCAGTGCCAGGAAGGCAGCAGAGAGGAGGTGGCACTGGGGCAGGTTCTGATGACAAACGGGAGTCTGAGGCCGGTCTCTGCAGAGAACCCATGTGGGCAGAGGCGTGCAGGGGGCAGGCAGGGCGCAGGGCTGGGGCAGGGGAAGGGCCGAAAGTGAAGCGAGGCCGGGGAGGGCCTTGAGTCCCACTGGCTCCAGGGGACCTGGTGGAGCCGCTGCTCTGGGCCTCAGCTTCTCACCTGCAGAGCGGACACAAAAGTAGGGTCTTCTCCAGGGAGTGCCCCTGAGGATTAAAGAAGCTGGTGGCTGGAAACTCTTAGCTTAAAGTAAGCACTCAAAGTCCTCTATTATTATGACCATATATGCCCTGACCGGTGTGGCTCAGTTGGTTGAAATGTAGTCCAGTACATCAAAAGGCTGCAGGTTTGATTCCCAGTCAGGGCACATGCTTAGGTTGCGGGTTCAAACGCCGGTTGAGGCTTATGGGAGGTAACCGATCAATGTTCTCTCACATTCATGCTTCCCACCTAACCCCGGCCTCCCTGCCCCCACCTCTACTCCCGTGCGAGGGTTCTGTATGGAGGAGGCTTGGCCATCGGCCCCTTTAGACGCTCATGGGAGGGAAGCACAGAAGAAAGGGACATGTGCCCATTGTTATAAACACCATTTTTAGTGGGTGTGTAGTATTCCCTTAAAGGGATATACCACTTTTTACTTAACTCTTCTCCGTTGTTGTGATCCTTGGGGTATTTTCCAAAAAATGTATAAATAATACTTCAGGAAACATTTGCCGTGTTTATCGTTTTCTTTTTCCCAGTTGCCCTTCGTCCTTAGTTTTTCTTTACTAGGGTGAATTACCGAACCACGAGTCGTAAACACTCTGTTTTGTGGGTGGTCAGGGGGACTTTGCTAAGAGCTGCTGGTAGTGTTCTGGAAAGGGCTGTAGCATTTCCCAGCAAAGTGTGAGTGCACGTCCCACTTTGGGGTGGGATTTTACCAAAGCTGTTTCTTTAAAGAAAAAAAAAAACCCTGATGATTTAATGTCTTAACAGGATCAAAGATTGTTTTAATTTGCATCTCTTCAGTTGCTAGAAAGATGGAACTTTTAAACCGTGTAATTAATGTTAATTTGTATTTCCCCTGTGTCGGCCACCCAGATGCCGATTGGTGCTGTGCCTGCACTGGACAGACACACGTTTATCCCGAGCGCTGGCCGTTCTGTAGTACGAAGCTCTGGACTGGGAAGCAAGCGTGCTGGGTCGGCCCTGCTCCTGCCTGGTTCTGTGAACACCAGGCGGGGGGGCACTTCCGTCATCACTTACTTCATTGTTCAAGACAGTGCCAGCTCGCCCTGGACAGTGTGGCTGAGTGGTTTGGGCATCATCCCACAAGGCAAAAGGTCACTGGTTCAATTCCCAGTCAGGGCACATGCCGGGGTGTGGGTCCCCACTTGGGGTATGTGCAGAAGGCAACTGATTGATGTTTCTCTCTCACACTGGTGGTGTTTCTCTCCCTCTTTCTCCCAACCTTCCCCTCTCTCTAAATGGAAAAACAAAAAGACACAGCAAAAAGCATAGTCCCAGCTCAGTAGCTCAGGCCTGGTGCCCCCAGGGGAGAGTCCAGAAGTGGGTCTCCTGGGAGGGCCCCCAACTGCGGGGGTTTCTCCAGGTGGAATTCAGCAGCTCGAGGAGGGTGTGGGGCAGGGGGTGGCCGGGTACAGAGACGTGGCTGGGAGGGCCCTGGTGGGGACAGCCACCAATGGGCCAGGCTGACCAGATGGAGGCCTGACAGGCCCCGGTGCAGGGCAGACGGAGGTACATAGTCCCGAGGGTCCCTGGGCCACCCTGGGCGCAGGCAAAGCCGTCAGAGCACCTGCGACTGGCTGCTCGTTTCTGAGCCTCAGTTCCTACACATCTGAACAAAACAAGCGCAAGCCCCGCAAGTGAGCCCTTGACCTGCGGCCTTCTCGGACCCCAGTGAGTATGTGCGGAGCACAGAATGAAGGGCACAGGCAGCCCGTGGGACAGAGAAGCACCGGGAGGGAGAATCACCCCGCTGCCGACGAGAACTGAATTCCAACAAGGCGTGTACAGTTTCTTTCTTTCAGGTTAAGACTAGTAGCCTCCTGTTCTAGGTGCGAAACTCCAGGGGGCAGGGAAATATCTGTGAATTGATAACCAAATGTTCCCTTCTTTTCTCCACCAGTCCCTCCAATAGTCTGTTCACTTGTGTGTTCAATCATCTGCCTACCCCCTACTTGTCATCCCCTCACTTGCCCAACCACTCCAACCACCCACCCACCCATCCATCCACCCACCACCTATCCACTCACCCACCCACTCATTATTCACCCACCTACCCACCCACCCATCCATCCACCCACCTACCCCATCCATGTATCAATCCACCCACCCATCCATTCACCCACCACCCCTCCATCAACCTGCCCATCCCCCCACCTCCCCACCCAACCACTCACCCATCCATTTATCCCGTTGTCCACCCACCTTCCCACCCTTCTATCATCCATCTAACTGATGCATCTTACAGTGAAAATATATGAATGGGGTTGGGTGATTGGTGGTGGCTTTCTCTACAGTCTTCCTACTCCAGTGTCTCCTCCAAACAATCTCCAGAGCAAGTCAGAAGGTCTGAGTGGATCAGAGTGTCAGGAACAAGGACCCACTCAAGGTTTTGCTTTTCCTTGACCTTCAGGACCAGTTGGAGCCTCTTAATCTCCTGTGAGTTCCTCCCTCCAGGGGTGGGAGCTGCCTTTCCTGCCCTGCTTCAGTCTCCTTTAACTGGGGACATCCCTACCCCTTCTACCAAATCCAGGGCAAGCCATTCGAAGAGCAGAAGGGGTGTGTGACTTGTTCTGAGTCATCTCCGCACGTGTCTGTCCCCTCTTTTTTTTTCTTCAGCTGCCAGCGGTCCATTCTTTGAAGCAGTTCTGAGTTAACCACTGCACCTCCCTCCGGGAGACAGAGGGAAGAGTTGAGGCTGAATTCACCAGTGAGGTGCGCGCCCGGTCTGCCGCGGCTGCCTGGTTGAGCTGAGCAGCGCGCCCAGCCCTCCGTGGCCAGGATGTGCGCCCTCCGCGCTGTGCCGGCACTGCTGCTTCTGGGGGCACTCCGAGCCTTCCCACAGGTGAGGGGGTGTTGGGGCCCAGATACCCCTCCTCCCCACTACTGCCCTGAGCCCTTGGGGGTGTGGGGCACGTGGGATGCAGGGGAGGGCAGGGACGCCCCTGCCTCATTCCCTGCTCAGCTGGAGTGAGGGGGCGCAGGTGACAAGCGGGGGTGGGGGACCAGAAAATGCAAGTGTTATAGGTGGGAGGGTGGCTGGCAGGCTAGCGGGGCGCCTGTCCCTGCCCCGGCAGAGACAGGGATTTTTTACCTATTGATCCTTCACTGAGCTCAGGGGACTGCCTGCAGGAGAGAGGCTGTGTGTGGATGGGGGTCCAGGGCAGATCAGGTGGGGTCTTCCCTTGACGAGGAAAGGTTGGGGTTGGGGCTCTCCCTGCTACACCTCCCTGGTCCCTAAACTGGCCACTGGCTGAAAAAAGTCTAGAGAGAAAAGGAGGGGCCAGCGATATTCTTCTGAATCCTAGTTCAGCCTGTAGAGAGTAGTTGGGTAGGTGCAGGCAGAGGAGAGACGGTGTGGGTGGGAAAAGGGGGACAAGCAGGTGCCCCCCAGGCCTCTTCATTGGGACAATGTGAGACACCCCCCTCCCCACAGAGGGCAGAGGACAGAGACTCTGGCTAGACCAGAGCCACCTACCGCCACCCCCGCAGCCCTCCAAGCCCTGGGGGAGGTGAGAGCTTGGGGCACGGCGGAGGTCTTGGGGAGGCAAAGGAAGGAAGAAATGTGAGAGGGGACTCAGGGGGCTTTGCTAGCATTTGGTGGCTGGAGCTCATGTGCTTCCTTTCTACAAAGTGAAACCCCTCTTTAAAAAAAAAACAACGTGTGTTTCATTACACGAGGAATATGTAAATATATCCCCTAAGCAAGAAATTGAAACTCTACAGATAAAGGGTAATCTTTGGGCATCGCCCCATCCTGATTCGTTCTAAGATGTGACTGCCATTATTGGTTCGGTTCCTCAGAAGTCTATAGGGTTTCCCATACGCAACACCACGGGGACACACGGCTCTTCTGGCTTTTACAGCGTCCACAATCCACAGCGTGTCTAGGGAGGCTTTCCGTGCTGAAACTTACAGAGCCCCCCACTAATCTTTGAAAATGCGTGTAGAGTTCTGACCTGTAGGTGGCGTCTGTAGTTCCTTTACATCCCTGCAGGATGGGGCTAAGGTTCCTGCAACTGTTTTCTGTCCTTTTGCTAACACGACGCACAGCCCCCACTGATGCCGGGGGCCGGGTGCGCCCCCTTCCTGCAGAAACGGCTGCAGAGACAACGCGGAGGCTCTGGGCGAGAGGCGTGCCTGTCCAGGGGTGTGCGGGACGGCCTCCCCGTGGGGGGCCGGCCTGCTCACCCTCCATGGGCAGCGTGAGAGTAGCGACTTCCCCACATCCTAACCGACTTTTGATCTTATCGGAGGAGTTTTAATTTTGTCAATGTGATCTGTGAAAAGAGCCATATCCTTGTCGTCTTCATTTGCATTTCCCGCCCACTAGAGAAGCTGAGCGTCCCTCATGGGCTCAGACACTAGGTCCCTTTTGGCCAGGAATGGGGTGCCTGTGGGGGAGGGGCTGCGTGTCCAGCCCCACATCCCCTCTGCCCGACCCTTCGCGCCCTTCCCCACCTCTGTGGCCCCAGTAAAGATGTGGGAAGTTCTCTATAAAAAGACAAATCAGGGCTTGAAATTTTAATCTATTTTTCATCATTGTCTGATTTTACAAGACAGCGTCATTTTTTTTTTTTTTTAAATTTTTGTGGTCGCACATGGGGGGCTGAATGCTTTCGTGCTGTGTGTCACCTTCTGAGGAAGAGAGCCGGCCTCATCCGATGCCTCACACCTCAGTCTCCCGGGGAGCAGCTGCAGCGATGTAACCCAGGTGCCGAGCCAGGGAGAAGAGTTCCCACTGTGAGCCCGGCTGGCCTCCCTCTTTCCCCGAGCTTGCGTGGGGCTGGAGGGAGCAGGCAGGGGAGGGAGGCCCAAGGTCTTCCACAGACCTCTGCCTGCCCAGAAGTCCCGCCACTCACTTTCCAGGACAGGCTGAGGCTACAGGCAAGCCTGCCTTCCACATCCACAGCTCCACTTCCAGCTCCCTTCTCTGCCAACTGCAGATAGACCTCTGCCCTGAGCCAGCGGGCGCTCCTGCAGGGGGAAGGTTCTCAAGGATACCTCTTTGCTGTGGGTAAATAACTCGGTGTGTCTCTCCACCCACCAGGGCATCCGGACTTGACTAGTGACCCCACCGAGGGCAGTGCATCTGGTGGGATTTTCCTGGCAAGGGCGCTGAGAGGACTTTCTGGTTCTTTTTGGAAAGGGGGTGATTCGGGTTCCACATCCTGCAGAGGAGGAGTCCCACCTGGATGAGGGGACCCCCTAGAGGGGGCCCCTGATGGGAAGGGGGAAGGGACGCGTGCGGTGAGTCTGAATCCAGGACTCCCCTGCCTCAGTGAGGCCAGGACAGCGAGGCGAGCGTGGTGGGGAGTGGGGGGGCCCATTACTCAGCTTGAGAGCAACCAGTGCTGGGAGGAGGCAGCGTTTACTGTAAGTCTGCTAGTGCTCCCACTCATATCTGACCTAGACTTGTTTCTTGAGTTCGTTGTGATTCATCCTTAGGCTCATGTGCACCTTCCTCATCCCCCTCCTTCACCTCAGGAACATCATCAGAAGGAAAACGGGCCCAGGGATGTTTGTATCCGGGCCTGGGAGCCCCTGGAGGCTCAGCAGTCCTTGGCATAGACGGTCAGTTTAGCCGAGCTGGAGCCAGCGTTAGGCCTGTGCACTGGCCCCGGGGCAGGGGCACATCTGGAGTCTGGTCGCATTGCGCAGATGAGGCTGTGAGGCCAAGAGGCGGGGGAGGGCCTTGCTCACAGTCTCAGGCCTGGTTGGGGTCAGAGCAGGACCTGAGTCCCAGACCCCATGGACAGCCCACAGAGGCAGCTCTGGGCAGGGCCAGGCATCCAGGGCCTCTCTCTCCTCCCACCTCTCCCAGTGGGCTGTCCGGCTGGGGGTAGCAAGGCCTCGATCTGGAATCTTCGCTGCCTATGGTCAAAAACCACCAGGCATTCTCAGTGGCCTCGCCAGTGGGAAGGGACTTTTCACACGCCACTCAGGCCACTTAGTCAGAGTGCCTAGACCTTTGGGGACATTCATCCAAGTATTCATGTATTCATTCATTCATGCATTTATTCATTCATTCAGAAAATCTTACAGGGACAATTGCCCTATGTCAGGTGTGGCCCCAGGGGCTTTTGTTCCAGGCTGTTCCAGGTAGTCACGCAGCCTCTGCTTGCAGACCTCCGGTGACGGGGCACTCTCTCCCTCTGAAGGCAGCTGTTGCTGCCCTGGGCCAGTGCTCACATGCAGACAGCCTTTGGGAGGCATGGAAATCTGTCTCCTCCACGCTTCTGCCCCTTGGTCCTGGTTCTGGAAGCCACCTTCCTTGGCATTGCCTCCCAGCAATGTGAAGGCTTCCCCGCTGCACCCCCCCCCCCCCCCCCCCCCAGTTTCCCAGCTGAGCACAGCTCCCAGGGCTTCTCGCACGTCTTCCTCACGTGGCGCAGGCTCCACACTTGTTCTCACCAATCCATTCACTCCACAAACACTGACTGAGCCCCACTGTGTGCCAGGGAATGTTCCGGATGCTCAGGGACAGCTAAGCCCAGCACAGCCAGCCTCTGCTTCCGGGGAGCCCTTCCACTCTGGCGCCGGCAGACAGATGGGCGCTATGTCGCTGTGGAGGTAGCTACAACGAGCCAGTGTGACAGGTAGGGGAAAGAGGAGGACCTTCAGGAGGCAGGACACTCTCAGGAACGAAAGGAGGGAGCCCGAGCTGGTGGTGCGTGAGCAGGGGAGCGTCTGGCCTCAGAGAGCCAGGGCTGGGAGAACGGGAAGGAGGCCCGAGTGGCTGCAGCAGAGTGGGTGACGTGGGGTGTGGCGGAGACGGTGACAGGGAAGTTAGAGATATCAGGGACCTTTGTGGCCTGCTGGTTTTGGAGGGGGAGTGACGTCACATGACATAGCGTGACGTTCCTCCGTTTGCAGGGACGGGGTGGTGCAGGGGAGCAGGAGCCCAGGCCGTGGCTGTGTCCAGGGAAGACGTAAGTAAGTGGAACTAGGAACATACTTCAGAGCCAAATCCACAGGACCTGCCGAAGGACTGGGTGTGAGTGCAGAGGGCAAGGAGACCCCACCCAGAGCGGGGGCTCCACATCTGGCTGAGTGTCGGTGTCGGTTACGGAGGCAGGAACACTGGACGTGGGACAGAAAGGGGTTTCGGAGGAAAGCGTGAGGTCTGTCTCGCCGACGATGTTCAGCGGGGGGCTGAGCATGGAGGTATGGGGCTCTCTGCAGAGCCCGGGCCCCTGACTGAGGGCCCCAGTCCTGGGGGGACTGCAGCATTCCTGGGGCTTCCTGGGCCAGGGCCGAGGGTCAGCCACGCCTCCCTCGCTGGAGCCCCCTCACTTCCATGAGGTAGCCCAACATGCCGTGTTCTCTCGGCCACTATGTTGTCTTGGTCCGTCCCAGCCCAAAGGTAGGCTCTTCCATGCATCTGCTTGCATTTCATATTCGCTTTCCCCAGTGGCTGCAGCCAACGATCTCAGGCTTGCTGTCTCGGAGCTCTGGAGGTCAGAATTCTAAAACCGGTGGGTGGGCCGTGCTCCCCTGGGGGCCCCAGGGGAGGCAGTCCCCTTGGCTTCGGCGGCTTCTGGAGGCTGCTTGCTGTCCTTGGCCCCTGACCCCCAAATGAGCCCCTGCTGGGCTGTCCCATCTCCTTCTCTGACTCTGCCCCTCCTGCCTCTCTCTTAAGACCCCCAGTGATGACATCAGGACCCGCCTGGGAACCCAGGGGAAGCTTATCTCAAAGTCCTAAATGGAATCCCATCGGCACAGTCCCCCTTGCCAGGGGTGGCAGCACACTTATTTCCCTGTGTATGGTGCGTTCCCCTGTATGACGTGCACCCACGTTTTTGGTCCAAACTTTCAGGAAAAATACATTTTGTTTTAATTTTT